ACCCGCACTTGTGAAAACGTGTATACAGTGAGTGATTTATCAAATCGGTGCAGATCATGGGTTAATGACCTTCAGACGTAGCTGCTTTAATTATGACAATAGCTGGTATTACACAAAATACAGGGCTGTGATTGCTCCGACCTGCTGGTCCTGGACTAACAACTCTTATTCCCTTCCTGCTTAGGACGATGGCTTCTATCTCTGAGCGCACGTTCATCGCCATCAAGCCTGATGGAGTCCAGCGGGGACTGGTTGGAGAAATCATCAAGCGGTTCGAGCAGAAGGGCTTCCGCCTCGTCGCCATGAAGTTCGTGCACGTAAGTCTCCGCGCCCGGGGAAGCGCCGCCGGCCCCGGCCGGGACGCGTGTCCCCCCCGGAGGGTGGAGGTGGTGCATCCGCCCGCGGCGGCCTGCCCGGCCCGGAACGGGCAGGTGATGCCGAATCGGCCCGACAGCAGCACCTACAGGATCACACTTGGATTTCCGCCAAGCACAAACGTTTCATTTCTCCCCTCTTCCATTTTCTGGGAGGGTTTAATGCCGCCTAGAGTGCGGTGAGCATGCCCGAGTGCTGAAATGACCTTGGGTGAAACGTTCTATCGGGTAACGGCAGCCAGACAGCTCCCTGCCGAGTATTGCTGCAACGGAAAAAATAACATTGACAACTCTCAACACTGACACCCCATAAAGGAGTGTCGTGTTCTCCTTTATTTTTACATTTGGAACTTTTGTTGAAACCCATCGTAGCATTGCAGCAGCAGTTGATAATGAGTGGTGGCTCCAGTCGCTAAGGTGTAGTCTTGCAGTACTAACACCCTTTGTACTGCAGTATTTTGGAAGTGATGTTTAATGTTACATCTGTCCTTTTAAAGGCCTCTGAAGACCTTCTCAAACAACATTACATTGATCTCAAAGACCGACCATTCTACCCTGGTTTGGTTAAATACATGAACTCTGGACCTATTGTGGCCATGGTAAGTGGCTTGATTTTACTTAAAGACTTAGATTTTTAATGTATTTTTCGTAAATTATTTTTAAATATTCAGATACACTTTTTCAAACTACCCAGTTCTGACCAAAATTAACCAAACCAAAATTAAGACAATCCAGTAAGATACTGTTTATTAAAAAGAAGAAAAATGTGTATGTATAAAATGCATATTCAAGTGCTTAGCATGGATTAAGCAAAACTCCTGACAACCAGTCTTTTGCACCAAATAATCTTTTGTTTTGGGCAATAAAGGGTCAGGGCTGCCCCACAGAAACCCATGTCGGTCATTCTTTGTTGTACTCACCCCCAAACTGTGTAACTGCCCCAGTAGCATCTCCTCCTGTTCTGACTACATACATGACTGAGCATCTGCAACTCCACACAACAGAAAAGGCTGGAAGCTGGCCTTGTACCTCAGTTAACTCTGAGGCTGGTAAAGTACCTCCTTTACTGGAGTGACAACGTTTATAGTCCTTTTTATAATTATTTTTAGTTCATATGTTTTCTCCCTAGTCATCTTTACAGGCCTAAGAAATTATTTAGGCTAGATGAATGTATAAGGATGGATTAACAGGATTTGTCTTTTTTCCTTAAGGTATGGGAAGGACTCAATGTGGTTAAAACTGGGAGAGTAATGCTAGGTGAAACAAACCCTGCAGACTCAAAGCCTGGTACCATCCGTGGTGACTTCTGCATTCAAGTAGGAAGGTTTGTGCTCAGTTTGTTTCAGATCGATTTTAAAAGCACTATGGGTGTTGTAGATTGGTAGATTGTTGGTAGATATCCTAGTCTGATGGTATTTTATTTGCAGGTCACAATCCATAACCGCTACTTAAGGAAGCGCCTTTGTACAAAACTGACTGTTTTTGGAAATACAGCTCCTCATCAGAGCTCCATGTAAGATCAGTCAGTGGCAGTTGAGTGAAGTAGCTGTAGTCACCCTGCTAGGCTCCATCAGCTCCTGCAGTGGGGGTGTTTGAATACCGTACCTCAAATAGGCTCGCAGCTCTAGATGCTTCATACAGTTTTTTCCATATGGAAAACTAGGAGGTTGCTGAAAGTGTCTTTTTATTTGGAACAACTCATGTCTCCTTCCACAGAAACATCATTCATGGCAGCGACTCCGTAGAAAGTGCGCAGAAGGAGATCAACCTGTGGTTCAAACCTGCAGAGCTCATCGACTTCAAATCTTGTGCGCATGATTGGATCTATGAGTGAAAGGAGTTTCCACGAGGAGCTGTGCCTTCTTAACATGTCATCTCATTCCAGCTATTGACCTGGGAGCAATTATCACCACGGTTATCTTGAGTCATTGTCAGCATTATCAAATAAATGGGTATGAACTACCTTGTTGTGGTGCATTCACTACTGGGTTCAGAGAGTCACAGAAGTCATTTTATTTAGTCATTCAGAATTTTCCTCTTGCAGAAGGAATAGTTTACACAACCTTCCATGTAGAAGTGTATCAGAATAAAAATTCAGTGACTTGTTCATTGCAAAGTTGCCTTGAAGGCTACTGAAATACATCACAGTTGTAAAGCCAACTTGCAGAGGCAGAGTGGAAGGGAGGCTCGAGCTCCGTCCAACAGCAGAACCCAACTACAAGAAAAACATGATACTACCTCGTGACAAAATTTCCCTCCCTACACACTATTAATACCAGTCTTAAGACTAAGTGCAAAGCTTGCTCTCTTATTAAATGCTCATCTAATGCCACCCTCTTGCATTAAAAACCTTACCTTGCGCTCAGAGGCTCTCATGCTTCATTTGTGCTCGGACAAACCTGCCCAGTTACTTAAAACACTCATGAGTACAAGTTGTGGGTATTTTTTTATTTATTCCTTCAGGAGAAGTGTTTGTGCACGCGCCAAAGGAGTGCCCTTTAAACAAAATCACTATCAGAAGATGACTTTTTATCATTTTTATTTTGTGTAAAAAAGGCAAATTTAGTGAATTATTTTCATCTTGTACACAAAGTTATAATTTTAATGCTTTTCACATCCATGCTGAAAATCTGCAGTCTCGTAAAAATGAAAGTAACATTAATTTCTCCAAAAGCATTCTTTTTCACTTATGTACATTGCATGAGAAAGCTTTAAATACTCCCTCATGGACCACACAAATTACCAAGAAAATAAAAGATTAAATTTGTACAGATATTGATCTATATATCAAATACATACAGAAATGATGTAAAAACCCTTTAATCTTGATTCCCGCCCCAACATTTTCCCAGGGGCCAAAGCTGATGCCTTTTTTGTATAAATGGCTGTGGCTTTTGTTTTAAATATGAAAATTAAAAGGAAGAAAAATTCAGTTTAAATCACAGTTTTTTAAAATCCCTTCCCAATAAAGGATTGTTACCAAATATATTAGCACCATCGTACAAATATTGACAGGAGAGGGTATTCACATCACATAAAACAACAATTAAAAAAACAAACAAACACTGAAACCCGTGTTAGTATCCGTAGAACAAGGAATTGATAACTGCTTTAGCTTTCCTCAGATGCAGCAAGGAAAAGGTTAAAG